AAAGTGGGCGATAAACAAACAAGAGAGAAAAGCCGAACAACTGATCATTGATCAGTTTCATGATTGAAGTAGAAACAGGAGAGAATGAGAGAAGAAGAAACACCTTAATTTAATTTAATGTAATTACCAACATTATTAATTCAAGACAACCCAAAAAAATAAAGTTTGCAACGTTACAACATAAATAATCAACAAAAACCACCGTCCCTGGGTGGGCTCGAACCACCAACCTTTCGGTTAACAGCCGAACGCGCTAACCGATTGCGCCACAGAGACACACGAGCCCAGATACCCTTCAAGAAGAATAAACCCGTAAACTTTGACGAAAAAAATCTTGTCTCTTCCTTAGTCCACTAACTTTTCCGTTTACAATGAACAACACTTAAAGTATTGTTGGGCATACACACAGCAATAAACAATACCACCAGCTCTGTACCCTAAGACTGTAGGCTAAATTCCAATTATTTTTACCACATATCCAGTTGCCCGGCTAGCTCAGTCGGTAGAGCATGAGACTCTTAATCTCAGGGTCGTGGGTTCGAGCCCCACGTTGGGCGCATAGCTTTTGTGTTTTGTCTTTCCATACAGCAAAAAAAGGTCATAAATATTTAGCCATTTAAACAAACAAAAAACAGAACACCCAGAGCAATTAACCACTGCTTCCGGAAACTTTCGCGTGTTAGGCGAACGTCATTCTGTACAGTTGTGTACAGTAACTTTTGCACTCTCCACTTCCTGCTGTGACAAAACAAATTTCCCACGTGTGGGACTAATAAAGGTTATCTTATCTTATCTTAAACCACTACGCTACGGAGACACTGGTGTCGATGTCAAGTTGAATGACCAGTAACACGAGTTCACCAGACCGCTGGGTCATTTACACATGCGTTGGTGGTATAGTGGTTAGCATAGCTGCCTTCCAAGCAGTTGACCCGGGTTCGATTCCCGGCCAACGCAAAGTTTTCGTGAACGATTTCCTCCTACCAGCAGTAAATGCAAATCTACTGTTTTACATGTAAAGAAAAGATCACCCAGAATATGTCTCTTTAGCTTTGACATTTTCCCGTTCTTCCTACAAAGATCTTATCAAATTCGTTTCCTTTCTTCTGAAATGTTTAAAAAAAACAACACAACACTATTTTAATGAGTTTAGGGCTAAAATGGGTATGTGTATGGTGTGACCTGGCTTAATCTGTGCTCAATAATTCAGGCCAATAAATCCCCAGAAAGTCAATTCTATTCACCTGTACACGGTTTTACGCACGCACGCACACACACGTGTTGTTAAACTGTGTTGCACTGGCCGGGAAGCTAACGCTTGGATTAATGTGCCAAAAAAAGCGAAGCCGGAAATGAGCGGAGTTAGTCTCTTGATTGTCTAACAGGCTCTCTGAACTGCCACGAACCAATCGCATCGCTCGTTTCCATGATATGGAGGAAGTGTACAGAGTGCAGGTAATAGTCAGTCACACGACTGCTACATATGTCTGCCTGGAAGCAGTAGTTAAACCTGATCTGAGTTGTTTGGATGCCTTTTCATTGTAGGCAGTTATAACCGCCTTGGTGCTGCTGTCAGGTCGATGCTGTAAGCTGTTATAGCCACTTGTCGTTTGCTAGGCTACAATGCTATCACCATCTGTGGACAATCTGAGCTGCTGGCAGTGAATTGTTGGAGAAATAGAGTTCAGGTACTGTTTTCTTCGTGTTCACGTGTTTATGTCTTCCTTTAGTGTTAAGTAGTAGTTAAGACCGTTATTGCAGAAGTCCTGCTTGTTGGTCATGACGGGAAAATGCCGTGGCAGGGTCAATACCTTCATATGAGCCAAAATTCAGCTCTCTCATTGGTTTGAGATGTCACTGATGATCTCGTGGTTTTGTTTCCCAGTTAAACCATGAAGACCAGTAAGTCCTATAAGCTTGTGCTGCACAAGAAAGGTTTCGGTGGAAGCGGTGAGTAGAGACTCTGCTCCGTGTTTGTTTCTCTGCAAAGATTTGATTGCTTTTGCAAATGAACTTATCCTCCGAACAGACGACGAGTTGGTTGTCAACCCAAAAGTTTTCCCTCAAGTCACTTTGGGGAATATCATTGAGATTGCACATCCCACCGATGAATACAGGTGAGATTATGTAAGATTGCTGTATTTTTATAGGGTTAAGCGTCTGCCATTGAAACTATAATGTGTCCCTTTGAAATATTCCCAGTCCCCTCCTGCTGCAGGTGAAGAGCCTAAAAGAGGACCTACAGAAAGGTAATCTTAGGTAGCAGCGTGTTTGTGGTGTTTAAACGTTTCATTTATTCTTTATAAGGTAAAACCTGATAGCTTATTCCTGCAATAGACAATACGATTGACTTTTTTTAATGTAGGCATTTCCCTGAGTTGCAGGTAGGTTCTCTCTGATGTTCATCAACATGGGTAAAATGGTAGCTCTGCCTTACAGCTGATGAGCATGTTGTCGTTACACAGAGACGATCAGTGTGGACCAGACTGTAGCACAGGCCTTCAAGCTGCGTGCATACCAGGATGTCATCGTCAACATCGTCGACCCTAAGGTACGTTCGCTCTGAGCGCTCCTCGGCCCCTCCACCGTCGCTGGGACACAGTGTCTGCTTTCTTTCTGTCAGGATGTAACGCTGGACCTGGTGGAGCTGACGTTCAAGGACCAGTACATCGGCAGAGGAGACATGTGGAGACTGAAGAAAAGCCTGGTGAGCCATGTGAACGTCAGGTCCATCTGAATGCTGCGTGCGCTGTGGTATTTAAGTTTGCTGTTCTCTGTCCTTCCAGGTGAGCACATGTGCTTACGTGACCCAGAAGGTTGAGTTTGCAGGAATCAGGTACATAAATGACTTCACAGCGCTGTTTGTAAGGGTTAACCAG